ATTATTGTTGTTTTTAATTTAGTTTAAAAAATGTGCACAGCAAATAGAAACCATTAACCCCTTATGTAATGATACATCTGCATCTCTTGTATAAATTATCTCTTTATTTTTACCTTATTGCATATTTTATCCTGCACATAATTTTACATAAACTGTCCAAGGTTTGAACCTTATTTTAAATTAAAAAAATAAATAAAAAGAAAAAGTCTGAAAGCTTTCAGATTTTATATTACACTCAAACGGACTTCCACCCCTCATTTACAGGCATATACATGTTTCAAGAGCATTTGGGCTAACGTCACATTGTGCTAAAATTATTTAAAAACAGCACATCTTTAGAATTTTTATTGGATGAACTTTTTTTCTAATTTATTTGTGTAATAATATATAGAAAATAATCAAATTATAGAAAGTTTTACTTATCACAAAAAATCCTTCACACGTACTCCCATATCACACATAAACAAGCAAACTAAGGGAGGGTGGAGATTACAAAAATGTGACGTTGATTTTAACGTTGATTTAAAATGTGACGTTGATTTAAAATGTGACGTTGAGGTTGATGACATTTCAAGTAATTTAATTCTCTTTATGTATTGCATTCCAAATCAATTATATAAATCTTAATTTTCATATAATATAGAATCTGCAAGTCTGTCAAACTGGTCGATACGCATCCTGAAGTAATTAAAAAATAATTCCGGTTATTCATTTCGCAAAGGAAGCAGTAGATGGAAAAAATCTCTTTGAACAGGTTGCTTTAAATAAATCTTTCGGACCCATTCTCACCGTTTTTACATTTTTGCCTCTGCTGAATGACTGTACTTAACTAAACTGTAAAGTTTTAGCTATCAAAAAACCATCTGATTCTGACGTCTTGTCGCAAACATACAAAAACACAACAAAGTAACAAGATGACAGCTCCGTTGAACAACACTATATTACAGCATCACATGATTTTTTGCACCAAATAATTCTATTGGTCAAACGTACTTTCGCAAGCTTACTCGTTTGGACGCTGTTTCGCTGGTAACGTAAACAAATGCGCTTTTGTCAGCTACATTTCGAGCATAGTCGTGTGGACAGACCTTTACTGCAAGTTTGTGGGCCTTAAACAAAGTTTGTAGACTCCTTTTGTTACGTAATGTAATATTTTTATTTTATTTGAAATTTTTTTGATGATCTTACACGCTAAGTCGATTTTTTTTTACACACAGACTATGTAACCTTTAGTCAGACAATTAAAAAAGAAGATTTATTTTAAAACATCGAATCACAGTAATTTTACTTAGAACTTTAAAGCAAGGCAATAAGTCATCTGACTGTCTTTATAGGTCCAGTAGCTTATAGTAAGAACACGGTGGATACATTCAACTGTCTGGCTAGAACTCAGGAACTAAATGAGTGCATAAACATGTGCCATGTTACAAAGGATTTTAAAATCCAATACTTGTGCATGTCCGTAGAAATTTGAAGAGCTCAACTTTCATTTTACATCTGTATTTTTGAAATAAATTCTTTGCATAGTTATGAGTATCTTATCTTTCTGTATCATGAATTTTGATTTGGCTGTGTTTGAAAACCAACTCAAAATTCAATTACCCTGAATGCTGAAGAGTTCGACTAGTGTACAGATGGGATATGTGACCGAAGCAACATTTATATATCATGACATGAAGTGCTAGATTTATTAGTAGTAGGTTATCTATGTCAAAAATTATTGAGACAATTCGAGAGAATAGTTTCAAAAATTTTCAATGATGCCCAGAGTATTGATTACTTAAAAATTCTGGCTGTACAATTCCGTTAAGAGTGGTGTCAGTTAAAAATGTGCCAAAAACCACACCAAATATCTTGGCTCAAGAATTCTAGTTTTCATTTAAAATATCGTCGCTGGTTATTTTGAATATTTTTTACTTACATTTAAAATATCGGGGCTCAAGATTTTTAGTTTTTGTTTGAAATATTGTCACTGGTTATTTTTTTGGCCATATTTTGGCATTTTTTTAGTACAATGGATTATAACCTTGGCAGTTTTCTAATGACGAAAAGGCTGCCATAAGATTCTTTCAGGATAAAGGAATAATGCATAGCAACAGATTTTGTTCTCAAAACCATTCGATGAAGTTGACTTACGATGAAGATCTGATGAAACTTTTGACTCAAACAAAGCTCCTATATGGCATTGTTATGTATGTTCTTGCTGTGAGAAAAAAAAAAAAAAAAAAGATTGAGAACCAAAACATGGTTTGAAGGCTCATGTCTTAGTCTCCTTAATGCTGTTTGTTTCATCTATCTGTGGTGTCAAGAACTGACGTTGACTGAATTTTGCAAACTTCAATTAGAAATAAGCCATAATATGACAGTAGATTGGACTAATTACTTGAGGAAGGTGTGTCTTGTAAAAGAATTAAAATCGGTGGAGCCAACAAAATTGTAGAAACAGACGAAAGTCTTTTTACAAGAAGGAAAAACAATAGTGGACGCATTCTTTGAGAACAATGGGTATTCCGGGGATTTATGCCGAGAAAGCAAACAAATTTTTCTGGTTGCTGTTCCTGATCGTTGTGCTATGACACTGATGACTACCATTCAAGAATCACGGATGGCAGCATTATATCTTCAGACTGCTGGAAAGGGTATAAGCAAGAACTAAGAAATGCTGAGTACGAACATTTCACTATCAATCACAACTATAATTTTGTAGAACCTGAAACTGGATGCCATACCCAAACTGTGGAGAGACTGTGGAGTAGCGCTAAATGAAGAAATAAATGTCAGTGGGGCACTGTTCACCACCATTTAGAATCATATTTAATAGAATTTATGTGGCATCGACTATATTCAAAAACTCAAAATTTTTCTCCAATATTGAATGATAGTCATAATTTTATGCCACCTGTTTAGATTGTATTTTGTTTTGCTTTGGTATTTTTTATTTATGTGTAGAATATTCTAAGTTACAAAATTAAAAAGAAACATTTACTTTCTTTAAGAATTAAGATATTTAAAAAAATTTACTTTTTACAGAATTAATTTTTTTTTATTCTTTTGAACTCTATTATTATTTTATAATTTAATTGGTGAGAATTGGCGGCAAAAAATGTGGTGCATTTTTAACTGACGCTAATCTAACGAAACAGTACCATTCTGGCAAAGTTCACTAGAGAAATTATACTGAAATAATGCAGCGGACAATGCCAGCATAAATGAAATGAAGATTCCAATACTACTGAAACTGCAGTCATCTTTTTTTAGTGAATTCTTATTTACAGGGCATCAGTACAAGAATTCATTCCCAAGTTTTGATTTAAAATGTTTAGCAACTTTTTAGTTTAGGGTTTAAGAGATCTGAATGATGAAAATAGTTCTAAGATTCCAGATTTAAAGTCTTTCTGAAAATTTAAAAGATACGAGGTTTCAAAAGTATCAGCCTTAGGGGAAAAAAATTTAACTTATAATCCAGTTCACATCTAATGTCTTAATTCAATTATTTAAAGTGAGATTTGATCTCAGTATATTGGCCTTCATGTTAACTGTGCAGGAAAATAAAGTTATCAATTTTCATGCAAAAGCATAAAAAGTTAACAGCCTATTATAAAACAATTTTTCTTTCTTGAATAACAGTTTCTCTGATATGTGCGCTGTCTTGTTTCAGTTATTTTACTTTTTCTAAAACACTGTGTAGGAGTCAAGATTTAAGAAAAACATTCAATTTGTTTTTAAAAATGAGTGCCTCTTCAATTAAAAAAAAAAAAAAAAAAATCTTTTCTATATATTTCTAAAGATCAATACATATTCTTCAGACTTCAGTTCTAATAAAATCAAATAATAATTATGAATGAAGTGGAATAAAGGAAACCAAAAGAAAACACTTTTTTTTTTTTTTTATCTGAAAGAATAATGCTTAAATGCATTGTATAGTAGTTTGAAATTGATAATTTGTTGGGATATACGTTTCCAATCACAAAGCAGAATAAATAAAGTTTCGCATTTTTATAAAACCATATTAATTACACAAAAATGCAAAATTCTCATCAATTTATTTGAAATATTTCTTTCTTTTCAAAACAATATAAATATAGATTTGTGACTCTTGGAAAATCCAGCTGCGGCTCTCGAAGTTTCACGAAATTTACCATGCTGCTTTACCATGCTAGTCAAGTTTGGCCACCCCTGGTATATACCCATTCTCTTTACCCTATTTAAAAATCCTCTTGAGTTTTGCCATCATTGGTTATAGCCATATACTTTTAATTGCAGAAGTGTTTTAAATCATGAAAATATTCATACTTGAATAATGTCAAATTAAAAAAAAAAAAAAAAAAGGTCAACTAATGAAATCCAACTTTTAGGGCGGTCTCCTAGTTGCTATACTTATATTTGGGTATGTTTTATACTTTTTATGAAAAAATTATAAGAAGTTTGACTCCCATACGACAAAAATTGATTGGGATATTTAATTTCAAAATTTGCAACTTTTGATGTCATTTTCAGCTTGCCTTGAGGATCAGTTAATTAAGTTAGAGTTATTCAAGGAAATATGCTTAAATTAAGTGCAGGAAAAAAATGTATACATAACAGGCGTACAAGAGAATCATGTAGTGTCGTCATAAGTTTTTTTTTTTTTTTTAGCTGCAAAAAGTTAATTAAAAAATATTGCATTCTTTAAGTACAAAATAGTTCCATTTAGAACAACACAGACCTTTTTTTTCCCTTTAAAAAGCTATTAAGCTTCTACTGATTAGAATGCTCAAAATATAGAAATGCAACTCCATACCTTTCTGAAAAAACCCATTTTATTTGTTTTGAGTTGAGATTAAAAATTATAATCATAATACAAACAGTGGTAACTGATCTCATTAACAAAGATACAAATTTGTAGACTGTTATTCTGATAACAATTTTCTGATCTGATAATTTCTGACAATAAAAGTAAAATTGATAAATAAAAGCAAAAGGAAGAATAAGATTATAAAAATAACAAGTTTTCAGCTTACCAGATTATAATAAGGAGAATATTCTAATAATAAGTTTCGAGGAGTAAACAGTATTAAAGCTGCATTTTTTTCAATATTTTCAGATAAAATCTTGCTTTTTACACCAGGAGGCGATATCCATTGAGTTACCTATGATGTTAAATATATAGATTATTTTCAACTAAACTATTAAATGCAGAAATCAACAGTATGAAGAATAGACAAAAGCACTTGACAAAAAGCAACTGCAACATATTTTAATTCCAAATAAATATGGTTTACGATGCAATAAATCATACAGAAAAGACATAATTTTAGTTCATATGTTATAAATATATTCTCCGACATTATGTAAATTTTGAATGAATTATTTTTTTTAATATTTCTACTTTTAAATTTTTATATAGACGTATTAAAATGCTTTATGTTGTAAGATAATTACTTTTTATACTCATTAATTTTATAAAAAATACACTTTGTTTATTACTGATTACATTAACATTTTCAATATTATATGAATTCTAATCAAAATGAGCATAGATCAAACTACCTCATCAGTCAAGACACTGAACAAGTTTTTTTTAAATTTCTCTTCCTTTTTTTTATAGGCCATACATTTGAATTAAAATTTATAAGTTCTTGAAATCAAATACTAAATAAAAGAAGAGTAAAAAAGATGGCATAATCTGCGATCTTTTAATGATTTGGAACATTATGAATATTCTACAATATGATCTGTCCAATGCCATATGTATACTGTTATATATTTCCCGTGCCATTCGCCTAGAGGGTGCTCTGTACATTCCCACAGCCAGTGGCAGGCAGGATTCTAAAGGTGTAGAACGTAGAAGGCAGAGATGCCTAATAATATTTCCTCAACTATTTAAATTTGTTACATATTCTTGTAAATAGATGTTGTTGTTTTTGAAAGCCTCTTTGATGCACCTTTAGACACATGGAACCATTAGATGCAAAATATACAATATATTATGTAGCGACTGACTACATACATATTGCAAAGAATAATACTGAGTAGAGTACACACTATATATTATGTGGCCCTAAAAACTTGAAACAAACAAATATTTTATTTAATCTACATGGAATTAAAAAGTTTATTTTTAACCTCCTTTGAATTCAACAGACTGTTTTTTTAGTTTCAAAGGGAAACATTTCCTTTCTGCTATGTTGCATCTCTTTTTAATCAACTTCAGATACTTTTTTCGATACATACTCATTCTAGGCTTTAAATTAAAGTTCTATCAAAAATATATTCTCCTCGATTTTTTTATATATGCAAGTTAGCACGGAAAAACACTTTTTTTTTTTTTTTCTTTATATAACATTATCTTTTTATGTGCCACCAACCTATTATCTGCATTTTCAAGACATAACCATGCTTTAAACTTTATATATATATATATATATATATTATTAGAAATAAGTATAGACAAAAGTAAGAAATTTAGAACAGTTCCACAAAGACTCAAAATAAGTAAATTTCAAAATATAAGAAAAATCTAAAATCAAATAGAATCAGAATAATTAACGACAAGTGAAATATAAAAACCTCAATAAATACAAAAACTATAAAAAATAAATACAAATACAAACAAAGGAAGGGGAATACAATCAAATCTGATATAATGCTATCAAGAGGAGGTACATAAGATTCAAATGAACCCCCTCCTCCCTTGAAAACCACTGTATTTCTGTTATACAGAATTAGCTGATGAACCATTCTAAATTATTTAATTATAATAGTTCACTTGAAAATTCTGAATTCCTCCCAACACAGTGTAAGAATTCCAATGTCATATCAAGCAAAAGAAATTAGTGTTGAAAAGTCCCACAAATGATTTTTATATTGCCGTTAGAGGGCGCTCCTTCTGAGAAAAAGAATGTTAGTTTATTTCAGTTTGCAATGTAGTAGACAATAACCATCACAGCACTTCTGGTTGTTCTTGTAAATAAAATGATTATTTTTGTAAAAGTTAAAGTATTGGCTTCTATTAGTATAAGTATGACCAGAGCTGTCTTATGGAAGTCAATATAATATTTTTTTATATTTCTGGTGATCTGGCCGGGAAGGCTGAGTACGCAGTTTTGTGCTTCAAATAAAGAATATAGTAATACAAGTGTTGCTAACTTTGGATTAAATATGTGCTATCTTTGGATACCTTGTTCCAAGCAAGATAAATATCTAGATGATTCAAGGTAAGATTTAATATTCTAATTTTGTTAAGAAATGAATCTTATATTGCAAATTACTCCCTTTTTGATTGAACTGATGACTTAACAAGTTGCAAATGACTTCTCTCCTTTATGTAGTTAAAATCAGAAGAGAAATTTAGTTAAATGAAAATATCAAGTTAATTTGAAAGTATTGTTGAAAAGTGATTTCAAAATGGAAATCGCAAAGGCTAAAAGAGCTGCGCTTAGATCTCTTACAACAAGGTTAATTTCTAAAATCGAAGCTAAAATGAAACAGGAGAAGAGTTGGAAGAACTTTCAGAACAGATAGATTTGAAATTTAAACAGTTAAAAGAAATATATTCTGAAATTCAAAGTCAAATTATGGATGTTACAGAAATCGAAACCAAAATTATTAAATGTGATGAGTATCATAAAAAATTTATTAATTGCTTATGTAAGTTGAAAGCTGCTATCACTAAATGTAAACCAAGTACACAAAAAACGTAAAAACAACCTATTAGCTTGTTAAAATTTAAAAAACTATTTGTTAAATTACCGTTGTTAACAGTAAGAATATTTGATAGCGATCCTGCCGATTGGCAAAGATTCTGGTATCAGTTTGAATCCCTGATACACAGAAATGAAAATTTACTTACCGTAGACAAATTTAATTACTTACATTTATATTTAACTGGAGTTGCCGCAAATTCACTCAAAGGAATTACACTGACAAATAGAAACTTTAAAAGAAAGAATTGGACCAAAAACTTTGGTCGTTAATTCTCATTTGAATAAACTGTTAAATCTAACACCTGTTTGGAAATCAAAGACATCTTTCTGCTAGACAAGAATTGTTAGATACTTGTCAAACAGAAGTTCAGAATTTAGAAGCCTTAGGGGTAAATTCAGAAACTTTTGGTTCTCTATTATGTTCCATATTGATTAAATTAATACCGCAAGATATTGTTCTAGAGATCACTAAAAAATGTGGAATAAACAAAGATTGAGAGACCTCGAAAATAATTAATATTCTAAAAATGGGAGTTGAAAGCAGAGAAAAAAAACCTTATTTTTGACACGCAACAAATATTCAAATGAACACGAAATAAAATTACAAACACCGATTGGAAAAACTAATGATCTGAAGGCAAAGGTTCAATGTTCGTGAAAGGAATTCATAAAAGTACACCATCAGCAATGGTATTCAATATGACGCAGTCTACATGCATTTTCTGTTCTGCAGTACGATTATTTAAATGTAAAATGTCACCACAAAATAAAATAGAAATTTAAAAAAAAACTAAACGTTGTTTCAGATGTTTCAAAATGTATCACATTGGTAAAAAAACGTTGTTCTAATAAACTTTCTTGTTTCAAGTGCAAAAGCAAAAGTCACTGTTCGTGCCTGCACACCTGTAATGTAATCCGCGCATGCGCATCTGTAATGTTATGATAAGACGAGTTTGAGAATTGCCATCGACGGTGTACGAGGGCTGGTTCACAGCTATGAGTTAATGAGTGATTATAATTAATTATTAGAATTAATAAACTAAGAACCAGCGAATTTATTATAGTGTGTGTTATTTGGGATGAGACCCAAACAGTCATCATACTTCCAATTGTCCAGGTAATAACCAAAATAATACTGCAAATTAATCAAACGAATAACATCGAGGAGAAATATAAAGAATAATTGAATTTAAATTGTAATGCTAAAGATACTCAAGAGTTAAATCATTCTAATTCTGAAACTTTTAATTCAGTTTCACAGTGTAATGCAAGTATGACATGTTCCAAAAATGTTTATTTACAAACACGTGCAGTTGTTGCAAATTCAGAAATTAATTCTAAAGTGACTAAACTTCTACTTGATAATGGAAGTCAAAGAAGCTTTTGCAGTGAACATTTAGCAAATAACCTCAAGTTAAAACCTATTCGCTATGAATTACTGTTTGTATATTCCTTCAGTATGGAATGCACTTCAGGAAAAAAGTATCCAGTCGTAGAATTTGAAATAAAAGCTAGACATAATACGCAGTATTCAATTAGAATCGAAACTCTCATTACTGGTGCCATTGTTTCTCCTCCGGTTAAACAAGCGTCAGAATTCATGACCAGGCATAAATTGCCGCTTGCTGACTCATGCTGCGGAGATAAGTATTTGAATGTTGAAATCCTAATAGGATCTGATATATTTTTTTAAATATTCTGATATATTTTTCTTAGATGAAAAAATTGTAATTAATACACATTTAGAAGTATTAAAATCTGTCTTTGGATGGGTAATTACAGGTTCGAAATTTAGAAAAGCGGAAGCTTGTTTACAAAATACTACAATTATGAACAATGTGATAATGAATGACCTAAGAGTGTTTTGGGAATTAGACTCAATTGGTATTTCAAAAGAATACGTATACTTGTCTGTTAAAGATAAACAAATAATTGATCAATTTGAAAACTCTTTATCCTTTGATAAGAGAAAATATAAAACTAAATTGCTTTGGAAATCTAACCCTAATGAATTAAATAATAATTTTCATATTGCAAAGAAGCGTTTTGAGATTTCGAGAGACAGATTGGATAAAGATGTAGAAATGCGTAAGGAATACACAAAAATAATTGAAGATCAACTCGATGACAAAATTGTTGAAGTATATCAAAATAAAGATTTTGAATTTATTATATGCCCCACAGAGGATGTGACAATACCAGATAAAGAAACTTCTCGTGTTAGAATTGTTTTCGATGCGTCATGTAAAGGAGAAAATTCTAAATCCTTAAATGATTTGTTACAGGTTGGACCTAATTTAAATCCTAACATATTTAGATGTTATTCTTAAATTTCGAGAACACAATATCGCTTTTTCCGCTGATACAGAAAAGGCATTTCTAATGATAAGTATTGTGAAGGAAGATCGCAAATATTTAAGAACATGACACCTTTACCATTTGGTATTAGTACCAGTCCATTCATTCTAGCAACTACAACAAAACACCATATTAAAAATACATCACTAAAAATCCTGAAAGTTATGAAATGATTAATTCATCTTTATATGTCGATGATTTTTATAATGGAACGAGTAGAATAGAAAAGGCATACCAATTGTCATCTGATGCAGTTACGATTTAAAGCACACAAGTATGAATCTACATAAATTTAATTCCAATTCTAAGGAGTTAAAAGACATGTGGTTAAAAAACGGTTTATCAATGAATGATTCCTTTGTGCAAGCTAAAATTTTAGACCTTGACTGGGATACAGAAAATGATACTATCAAACTAGATTTAAAATCTTTAGAATCCTCTTCAACTAGTTGTATATTATATACTAAAAGAACATTACAAGTTACTCCTAAAATTTATGATCCAACTGAATTTATATCATCATTTGTGATCAGAATTAAAATCCTACTACAACATATATAAGTAAAGAGTTTTGATTGGGATGAACCGCTTCCAAATGATATTGAAACTGAATTTAAGAAGTGGCTTGCAAAAATAATTCATTTACAAGAAATATCGATAGATAGAAAATACTTTCAAAATGTTGAGAAGCAAAATAGTGACATTTCTTTACACGTATGCTGTGATGCAAGTAATAACGCATATGGAGGTGTAGCATATTTCTGATATACAAATAAGTTTGGTGAAATCAGAACGAATTTCATTTTTATCAAGGACCAGAGTAACTCCTCTTAAGAGCCTTAACATTATCCTGATTAGAATTGACGGGAGCAGTGACGGCAGCTAGATTTATAAAATATCTAACTAAATTATTTAATCTTATTTGCCAACAAGTGTATTTATGGACAGATTCGCAAATCGTATTACACTGGATTAAAGAATCTTCTAGCAACTGGAAACCTTTTGCCTCTAATTAGGGTTGCAGACATTCAAGCCTTGAAAAATCCCAATAACTAGAAACATTGTAGTGGTAAAAAACATCCTAATGATTTATTAACCAGAGGTTTGAGTGTAAATTCTCTGAAGACTTGTTCACTTTGGTGGTTTAGACCAGAATGGTTACACACACACACACACACACACAAAAAAAAAAAAAAAAAAAAAAAAAGTGAACTGGCCAGTTCAACCAAATTTTGATGTGGAAAATGATTAACAACTAGAACGCTGTAGTAAGATATCTGTTTATGACACTGTTGTGAAAAGAGCTGACAACTATTAGATATAACAAAATTCAGTAATGCGCTGAAATTTCTCAGAATTGTGGCATTGATTAATCGTTTCATTGCTAAGGCAAGAAAACTGCCTGCTAATAGTGGCAAATTAAGTGTTTCTGAAATTCAAGACGCTGAAATATTTTTGTTTGTAAAGCTCAGATGGATTTCTTCACACCTGAAATTAAGGCCCTTCAATCTAACAAGTCAATTTCTCCAAACTCTAATATATTCAACTTGGCACTGTTTCTTGATGAAAATAAAATTCTTCGAATTGAGGGAAGATTAGAAGAAACCAAACATACAGTTGATGAAAGAACATCCAGTTCTTCCTAAAGATTCCAAATGTACTGAATTAATTGTAAAAAGGGAACATAATACCATTCATAATAACGTAATAATGGAGGAGATTCCTAAAGGCCGCCAGTTCAGAGTCGTAGCTAGGGTTTTCAGTGTTCAGGGACAACTGAAGATTTTGCGTCCCCTACTACTTGCCAAGGATAGAAAACATTTATTTCTAAAATTTCATAACATCAGTTTGGTGCCCCTTGGATGCTGCGCCCGGGGACAGATGTCATCCCATTGGCCCTCTCTAGCTACGCCCCTGCGCCAGTTGGTGAATAGTCTTAGGGGACTGTTTAATATGTCGAAAATATGCAGTAAAAATAGCAAAACAAATGACAGCTCAGTTACCTAAAGACCAAATTGTTGAAACTCCACCTTTCAATGTTACAGGTGGGGATTTCACGGGTCCGGTTTACATCAAGTCTGGAAATGACATTCAGAACTCGTACATCGTATTGTTTACATGAGCTGTTACACAAGCATTATTTCTAGAACTCATTTCTAATATCTCTGCAAACAAATTCATTTTGGCTCTTAGATGTTTTATTTCGAGAAGAGGAAACTGTCGCACCTTTTATTCAGACAATGTAAAGACTTTCAAATATGCTGCCAAAGATTTACAGTATTTTTACAGCATATTTAAAGGAGCAGACTTTCAAAAATTTCTAGCAAATGATGGCTTGACTTGGAAATTTATCGTCAAGCTTGCTCTATGGTGGGTAGCTTTTTATGAACGTCTTATAAAAACTATTAAGGAACCGTTAAGAAAGATGTTAGGCAGAGCTCAACTGAATTTTGAAGAATTTATGGCTGTGCTGACAAAAGTCGAAAATACCGTGACGTCCTTTGACCTGTAGTGGAACATAATTTAATGTTTCTATATAATTATTAAGATTTCCTAAGTGGCAACATGGTGTAATGTTTTGAATAGTTATTAAGATTCGCCATGTGGCAACGAGTCGAGCAAAAAACGTCATTACTTGGAGTGTTCTATGATAAGCGTTGCATAAGCCTTATTTCTTAAAAATTTGTTATATTTTTAGGTAAAAATAAGTAACGTGTTTCAAACAAGAATGGAAATCGTGAAAATAAATATACTGTTTCTTTTAAGACCAAACTAAGCATTTATTTCACTTATCAAATGCTTTGGCTGATCAGTTTCGATTTCGCTTATTCATCAAATCTACAGACCTATGTTTACAACGATTTACATGAACCACCATTACTGGAATTCTTACACTGCGTCGGTGAAGAATCCAGAGTTTTGGGTGAACTGTTGTAATTAAATAATTTAGATAGATTTATCAGCTAATTTTAGGTAACAGAAACACAGTAGTTTTCAAGGAGGAAGGGGATAGGGTTCAAATATATCTTATGTATCTCTTCTTGATAACATCAAATTTGATTGTATTCCTTTTCCTTTGTATGTATTTGTATTTATGTTTTGTGGTTTTTGTATTTCACATTTCTTTACTGGTTTACATTCTGATTCTGGATGAATTTACATATTTATAGGTAATTTTGAAATTTACTGGTACTGAATTTTACTTATTTTGGATCTTTTTGGAACTGATTCTAAATTTCTTACTTTTTGTCTATACTGATTAATTTTCAACAGCATACTGCACGGAAATAACTTAAAATAATTTTGTTTTTAAATAAAAAATTATGACTCTGTATTATTAGAAATAATATATACATTACTAAACACACAATACACTATTTGAAATTAATGAAGAAAGCTTCACTAACCTGTTTCAAATTGGAATATGCCCATTTTAATATTTCAAGATGATTTAGCACTACCTCAGAATATACCTAAAGCAAAAGTTTGGATAAGATTTCATTTATTAGGCAGAATGTTTTAGTTAAAAGTTTTAAAAACTAATATAAACTTACTTCAGTTGAGTTCCACAAAAATAACTGGATGTCTGATTTCAGTTTAAAATGCAATGCATCTTTCCTGTTAGTTATCACAGCAAAACATATTCTTCTATTTGGATCTACAAAATGAATTATATTAATATTTCAACAATTCTATACCAGTCTATGCAAACTGCAATAAACATATGGGAATACCTGTATTTAATGATTTAATGGCAGCAGAATAAAATTGTTTATAGCCATTTGGGTATGAGCCATCTTTAAATTCAAAAAATGCTACTAGAACACCCTAAAAAATAAAAATGTGATTAAGCAAAAATTTTTTATAGGAATAAATAAAATACATATACAGGTCAAAAGTCTTAATCCGGATGTCCATAATCCGGAATGATCTATAATCCGGACCTCAAAGCAAACTTTCTGCGCATGCGTCAACACATGCACGTTCACGATTGCGCATAATACGTTTATGCATGTGCTTTTAATGTATAACAGACAGTATAAGCTAAGCTAAAATTATCTAATTATCTATTTCAGTTAATGTTGCAGATTGCATTGTTCCTTAATCTTTTAATTGGATCCAGCTTATTATATTTTGCAGACTGTTAGAGCAATTTTATAAAAGTAAGCTTGAACTTTCGATTATGTCAAAAATAATTTCCGATTTTGGAGCTGCCAAAGGATCTACAAAACGAAAGCATGTTCGATGTCGATCAAACAAAAAGTGGAATTGCTGCAAAAAATGGATAAAGGCATATCCTTTGTTTCTATAACCATTCTGAAATCTGTTTATCAATTTCACGCTGCTCTTCTGGGGGGGGGAAGACATGTTGCGGCGCGCAATGAACTGGAAGTTGATCTGTCAGCACTATCCTTATCTTCAGGGCAGATGTTTTTATTTTATTTGCTTATATTTCCTTACTAAATGTAGTATTTCATCTCAATGTACTCCGTCTTTGATATGATTTAAATCAAATTCCTCGTCATTATAAATATCACGAATGCACAAATAGTTTTCTGGTTGCTATGTTCTAATTTCGACTATGTGTAATGTATGCTTTATGCATGCGTGCGTTGAAAGAAATGTTTAATAAAGTAAACAAATAAATATTAAGCTTTTTTTTTTGTAAATTTTGATACCTTTTAGATCATAATTGCTCTTTATTTCATAAATTACCGTTTCATATTTTTAATTTTATAATTTCTGCATGCCATCTTACCAGATTTAAACTGATGATCTATAATCCGGAATCACCGAAGTCACGACAAGTCCATATTAAAGACTTTTGACTGTATCTAATATGCATAATACCAATATTAAAAAAAAAATTAAACTCAACAAGAGACATCCAAAATGCAAACAATTTTTCAACTAAAATTACTGTAAAAAATAAATATTTCAATGCATTAATTGCAGTAGATTTTCTGGATGAATGCAAGCTATGGACTTTGCAACACTGCTTAAATTTTTTTTTTATTTCTTGATCACATATTCAAATTTTTTCAACCAAAACTGTTTTGAAAAGATGAATTTCCTTGAACATTTTCATAACTACTAATCTACAGCCCATTATAAACAGTATGATTTCTAATCTTAACTATTGTTCAGTTTGCAAGCAGCTTAATTTACAATTCATTTCTGCTTTCCTTTTTCTTCAATATTTAGTACTGGGCATTTATCGGGTCAGTCCATAAGTTCATGCGCATTAAGAGTATGCATGGAATTCACTATGACACATTTGCTAAAACAATACAATTTTGAACCTGTTGAAACTTGTCAACGTTTGACTAACATATTATTCAGTTCATCACCAACTTTCGTAAATATCGAATGGACTTTAGTACCCATAAAAGATGAATATAGATAATCAGTACAAACATGCTGTGCTACATTTTTTATTTTCGTGTGGTGAATCTGCCAGGTTTGCAGCTATAAAAATTAATAGTGTACATGGTGAACAAACTTTTAGTGTAAGGACTGCCCAGAAATGGTTTAAAAAATTTTAAGTTGGAAAAAGCAGCATTGATGATGAACCCTGTTCAGGACATTTTGAACTGTTAGAACCAAATCAAACAATTAATTCAGAAGTTTATAGTGAACTACTTTGCCGTCTAAACTCAGAATTGATCAAAAAACGCCCACGATTAGTGAATATCAAGAAAGTGTTGTTTCATCATGACAACGCTAGACCGCATACAGCTCAAACAATGCTGCAAAAAATTAGTGAATTTAATTGGGAGCTTTTGCCACATCATGCTTACTCCCCAGATATTTCCTCAAGTGATTTTCATTTATTTCATGCCTTACAAAATTTTTTACTGGAAAAAAAAATTAAATTCTAAACAGGATGTACACAATGAACTTTCAAGTTTTTTTGCATCAAAACCAGAGTCTTTCTACAGCAATGGCATAAAAAAGCTGCCTGTAAGATGGCGAGACATTGTAGATAATGGAGGAAAATATATAATTGATTAAAATGTTAAATTGTGCCTTTTTATACTATTTAAAAATTTACCAAAAAATGCATACGAATTTATGGACTGACTCAATATTTTCCTTCTATTACAAATGCTGCTTAATACAGAGAAATTTCTTCTTGAATGTTCATCTTTTTTTCTTTTCTTGACAGAATATATGCTCATTCTCATTTGCTCTAGCTAAATTGCCGCAGAAAAGTTAATTGTTAATAGTACTTAGACATGTTCAGCTTTTATTTATTATGGCAATACTCAAAAACTGCTTACTTGATTACTTCATTAGACATTTATTTAAATTTTCAAAACACTCTAAAAAGTCATATTAAGCTCTGCCATTTAATGAAATGTTTTAATTTGCTAACCACCTCAAATAAATTTGTAACTAATATCAGTGATAATTACAATTTGAATGTTTAAAAGAGAATTACTTGCACACACAATAAATAAAGAATCACACTGCTTTGGCCATTTTTTTCGAATGTATTGTTTCAATTGCTACTCAAATTAATAATATTTTTTATTTTAGCAATTTTTTACTGGACTATGTAGCCAGTTAGTTTTAACTTCAGTGCCAATCATAATGATTGTTAACAGCCTTCAGAGAAGGAAGTCTAATTCAGTTGTTTTACTAGTATATCAAAACCAGACTACACCAGTATTTCAATGTTATGATACTTACTTATATTATTACGGAATCATAAAGCACTTCAGGCAATCTGTCTTAGAAGGAATACCTTCACGGATTACTTTCTATTACAAGATAGCTCATATTAATATTCTGCAAACACAAATACCATATGCAGCCAATTCCTTTGTGCTGAGACAGCAGCAAGTAAAGTAACTGTCTCAGGTAAAAATGAAAGGAGGCACAGAATTAAAATACAATAAATTAAATCAGTGTTAAAATGACAGAAAATATTAAGGCAAGACTATTTTTAGATTTATTTCAAGAATAATTAGTTATCAGTCTACATAATTGTTGTTCAGCCATCAAGAATTAAACCTATGAAAAACTGCTTTCATTCAGTGATTACTCAGAAAATGCTATCTAGTAAGCATCAAATAAGGTTTGGTTAAGAATAATTTACATCAGAAATTTACTATAATAAAAATTTTATTAAAACTAATGCAGTAATAATCATGTAAGATAGGTAACATGAGCAAATGTGTATTGCAATTTGGAATACAATAATTTACATTACTACATGTTCAGAATATCATAATCATTATTTCATATTTATAAATGAAATTAATTTTATAAATGCAATTTAGCATTTTTTCTCAAATAGCTGTAATAAATTTTTCATAATATGAAGTTTAAATCACACATACATACACACACACACAAAAAAAAAAAAAAAAAATATCTTTAAAGGAAAAAAAGAAATAGACATATACTACAGCCAAAAGTCTTTAATCTGGACGTCCATAATCCGGACCTCAAATCTACAAACTTTCTGCGTATGTGTAAACGCATAATACCTTTATGCATGCGCATATGCATTTACCCATGCGTATAATACGTTTACGCATGTGCGTTTAATGTATAACGGATGGTATAAGCTAAGCTAAAATTATCTAATTATCTATTTCAGTTAATGTTGCAGATTGCGTTGTTCCTTAATCTTCTAATTGGATCCGGCTTATTATTTTTTGCAGACTGTTAGAGCAATTTTATAAACGTAAGCTTGAACTTTCGATTATGTCAAAAAGAATTTCCGATTCTGGAGCTGCCAAAGGATCTACAAAGCGAAAGCATGTTTCGATGTCCATCAAACAAAAAGTAGAATTGCTGCAAAAAATGGATAAAGGCATATCTTTTGTTTCTATAACCATTCCGAAATCTGTTCATCAATTTCACACTGCTCTGTTGGGGGGGGGGGTACATCGCAGCGCAATGAACTGGAAGCTGATCTGTCAGTTCAGGGCAGATGTTTTTATTTTACTTAGCTTATAATTCCTTACAAAATGTAGTATTTCATCTTGATGTACTCCATCTTTGATATGATTTAAATCAAATTTCTTGTCATTATAAATACCACGAATACACATCAAATAGTTTTCTGGTTGCAATTTTTCTAATTTCGACTATGCGTAATGTATGCTTTATGCATGCACGCGTTGAAAGAAATGTTTAATAAAGTAAACAAATAAATATTAAGCTTTTTTTTTTTTTTTTTGTAAATTTTGATACTCTTAAGATCATAATTGCTCTTTATTTCATAAATTATGGTTTCATATTTTTAATTTTATAATTTCTGCATGCCATCTTACCAGATTTAAACCGATGATCTATAATCCGGAAAAACCGATAATTCAGAATCAAAGTCCCAACGAGTCCGAATTAAAGACTTTTGACTATATCATAAAAAATTTCATAATTTTTCCCTTCAAGTTTTTTTGTAACAAATCAATTACTTCTGAAAGTACTAATGTACCTCTTGTTTCAGTGACATACTATCTAACCTTATTTCTTACATAATTTTTTATCTTTTTTTTTTTTTTAAACAAAGAAAAATTTTGGTAACCATGCAGTTTGTGATCAACTGCTCTTAGTAAATTATTTATGTTAGATGGTGCCATTAAAATGCTATTTTTAAATTCAGATGTGCAACAAGATGGTGAAAAAGAGAAATGATCAAAACAACAACTAATTTTACAGCCATCATCTAAAAAATAACTAATTAATTAAAAGTGTTATATCATATACTACATGATTACCAAGATTTCTTCTTAATGAATTACAAAATGTCTAATAATAAAAATATTACCAAAAGATATTAAATTCTAAAAATAAGAAAGGGAACTACTTACTTTATTTTAACTGCTTATTTTCTTTTAAAAAAGGTAAAAAATTAAGTGTACTGATTACTTTTCTTTTATTTCTGAGCAAAACTGATGAAGTGATAGCATCATTCTCTTCCCCCTTTCTTTAATGCTTATTTCAACCTTTTTTTTTTTTTTTTTTTAATATCACAGATCTAAAAGCTTGCTCTTTTCAGAGGGTTCCAATTACTTTTTTGCTATTTTTCTTGGTAAATTTATCTCCTTATATTTTATATTTTATGTAAACATACTTATATTTTAACAAAACTATCATATTTAGATACTTCATAATTTTTGCTAATAACATGTTTTTGCAGTTAGTGCAAATAATTAAGATGATTATAATTTTAATCCAATTCTAAATAACTAAATTTTTAAACATGAAGTCCCTTAAGAAAGGAAAAACTGTTAGATTTACAAAAAGTACAGTTATTTACTAAAAGTCAACTGAAATTATTTAAAAAAATTACTAACTTCATGCTTAGTGAGAAGATCTAATAATTCTCCTGTATGATGTAAAGGCACTAATGGTGTCAAAACAAAATCAAGGAATGATATGATGTAAGTAGATATGAGTGGCCCCTCATACCGAACAATGCCTATTTCATGAATGTAGACTAGTACAACAGGGTATGAAGGAACACTAAATTTCTTTCGACATTCACCTTCAGGCCACCAACAGTTTATAGCAGCAAAAAATACCTGAAAATGTAATTTATTAATTTAACATCATAGTAGAAGTAGAAGTCCAGAAATCCGCAAAGCTTGGGACCAGAGGTTGTGCGGATTTCAGGACAGAAAAGATAAAGCATAATATTCGGACTAAAAGTGCAAAATAAATAAGCATATTAGATACATTTAATTAAATTATTATATACATTCTTGCAATAATTATTTATTATTCATTAAATTATTATTACATATATAATTGATTATATTATTCATTGTATATAGGTACACAGCATCGAGGTTTGCCGATTTCGCCACATGCGAAGATTTCCGGTTTGGGAATTTCCGGTGTTAGAATCACTGTTGCTGTAAAATTTCAACAGCTTTTCTTTATTTTTCCTGTATATCATACACAATTCGAGTCGCAATTCCATTCCATTCTGCTATAAATCAAGGAGTAGCACCTGCCTCCATCTTTTGCAAAATTTGCACTTTTTTGCGTTACTGTCAATGCAACGTGTTTACATTTTTCAACATTGCAAGCAAGTAAAATTATAAATGCGTTTCTTATCTGTCATTGTATTAAAAAGGGCTGAAATTTAAAATATTCTTAATTTATCCACAAAATATCAAGATATAAGAAAAGGTAGCACTAAACAATCTTGTGAAATAACAAAGCTCAGAAATTAAACAACCTGAATCGTGAACTTGAAGAGTTGAGTGAATCGTCTGCTTTTTTACCTCGATGCAGCGATTAGAGGGAGAAAATGGTTAATCTTTGGATTATGGTAACTTCGCGATTTTTTGGCGACCAACCCTGCTACAGCAACCTGCTAGTTTTTGTTCGGACACCATTTTGTTTTCACGAAGTAAAGGCATGTTTTTTTTTTTTTTTTTTTTTACTCAACATTTTTTTTTAACAATCTGCTAGCCGAATTACGCTTATGCTAGAACTTTTATGGAACAAAAGTGCTTAATCATGACGAAGATAAGGTGCAAAATTGGGAGAAAGTGCAGAATCGCAAACTGCTTGCCGCGTTTTTAAGAATTGCACATACACGGTATCCATGTACATGTCAACCTATTTTCACTTAAAAAAAACATCCCAGAGTTGCACAAAAATGGCACTGCGCACACTCTTGACTTTATAGATGTACACTGCTAAAGTCCTAGCTAGTAACCTTTCGCCTTACCAAAATGTTGCCAAACTACCTGTTACCATATTTCAAAGATTAGCCGAGAAAACTTTTATCGTACTTTTTAAAACTTCTTTTATGTCAATAATTTGGTATTTTTGTTATGACTCATTATTATTCGGTAATTATGACATCATTACTTGGTAAGTATTTTTTCTTCGATATTTCGTACTCAATGTTGCGGTTTCCGGAACCTACAAACTGAATATTTATATTTTGAGAGGCAACGCGGATTTCAGGAGTTGGCGGATTTCAGGTCGGCGGATTTTCGGTATTTGACTGTATTAACTAAAAAAAACTTTAAACTTGTAACCTACACATACGAAGTAAAACTTACACATGAATACTAATATTGTAAACGATTAAGAGTTCACAATATCAGCAAGCAATGATGAAGACAAATTTTTCAAAAATGATGTATGATATGGAATTTTGAAGCAAATAATGATGCCATACATTAAAATATGGCAAATTATTTTAATAATTAATAAGAAAAATCAAAAATCAATAATATAATCATTGATTTATTTTGAGGATAAAAATGGACCAGTATAGTTATATTTTACAAAAATCAAATTATGTAACCTATTAGTTATTAATAAAAATATCTCATATAGTACATTTTTATGAGAAGAGAAAATTTTCAATTAAATGATCTTAAAAGACATCATCAAAAAGTCCAGAGATAATTTTTTTTCCCTTGTTACATTTAAATTTCAAATAAGTTTATATATATATTAATGCACTATTTAAACCAGGAGTTGTCAACTTGTTTTGCCCAAAGCACCCCTTTCACCACTGCTAGATCATTCCTCCTCTTCTTTCCCAAAGTGGAAAAATATATATACACACTTACTTAAATTATTTTTAATGTGCTTTATAAATTAAATAACACAAAGTATAGAAAATATTGATAAATACTAGAATTACTTTTTTATATTCAGAAACTGAAACCAATACTTAACATCTAAATAAAAGTACGGCAGCATTCCCTCTGAAACTCTAAAATGTCTCCCCCTCCACACCCAGGTTTAAAAATTTTTAAAAACACTATACTGCTATAGCCTTTTGCTGCAGAGAAATAATTTTTTCATTCTTAATTTTTATTTTATTTTTAATAAAGAAAATACATGATTTGTAAGAACAATGAATTTACATTAAATTTTGCATAAAACTGAACAAAACTGGAAAAGAAACTCATGACTTGGGAAAACTGGCATGAAATGGGAGGAGGAGGGAATACCAATGGATACTTCCTCATGATTATGCATAGCCACATATCACCTATTATAATATGGTCATTCTTGGCTTTTCATAAACTGTTCAATAACTTCTTTATTCACTAGACTTGAGACCAAAAGACCTTTTCCTTTTTTTTTTTTTTTTTAAACAGAAAAAATATTAAAACGGTAAAGATTTTAAACAATAGAAGAAATTATCGAAAAACTGTGAGAAGAAATTTGCTAAAAATGCTTATCAAACAGCTTTTCACAGGTTTAAAAAAAGATGGCAACACTGCATCAATGTACAAGGAGAAAGGATTGAAAGCTGTATAAATCTATTTTCATTAAAATAATAATTCAGCCCTGGAATGTTTTCATCTCACCTAATATAATATGCTTAAATAACAATACTTTTTTTTTTTTTTTAATCTCACCTCATTGTGATAAAATTTGGCAACAGTTTCAATCTCTTCTTTGGCCTGAATGCATGCTGCATCCCAAGGAGCATAGTATACGACCAATGAAACATCTTTTTCTGATTGCAACGATAACAACTGCTGGACGTTTCCTTGGTAAAAATCAGTGACTAAAGATGGAGGAACAAAGAAAATACCTGGAGGATTTACTTTCTTTGTTTTCAAGGGTCTAAAATTAAAAACGGCAGCTTAGTATGAAACTAAGGATATAAATATTACCAGATAAAAAGAACAGAGTTTTACTGTCAACTTAATATTGAAGCAAACAAATAAATACAATCATACATTTAATATACATTAGATTAAATTAAGAACACTATACTTGGCAAATTTAACCCTTTCGCGGCGAGTTTTTTGTTTCTACAAGAGAACAATTTTGATAACATAAACTATGAGTAGAGCACTCTAGAATGCTAAAAGTTAAGATGTTATATTTTTAGAAAAATTTTGAACACTGATTTGGGACCGGGACATATATGTGTCCCAGTAGTCTTCAATGAGTAATTTTGTAAAGAAAACCAATGATTTTCTAGTCATGAAAATTTAATTACGAATGGTATGGTTTGAAACAATCAATGCACAATGCGACATTACACATTGTGCACATTATTTTAGTGCGCGATTCCTTCTTTTGTTGTGCACATTTACGGCACCGCCGTCGTGTTTTTGTTGTTACTGGCAGATGGTCACCAACATTGAGTAAGCTTCGTGATGTTTTGGATGGGCGTCCAGTTCCTCTACGGCGTTGATACTGTGCGTTGAGCTTTCCAGACGCCATCAAGGCTTCTGCAAGAGGTACAATGAAATCAAGAAGTGGGGTTTTACGATGTTTGAGTTCGCAGTACGCAATCCATGAGTTGACCACTGCGTTCATCAATAGGCGAAAAAATACTTTTTTCCACCACTTGCAAGATTTTTGATCTAATTCATAGACATTTGCCATTTGATCTGCAAGGTCTACACTTCCCATGATTTTGTTGTAGAATTTAATTGCCACAGGGCACTCAAATTCTTCTTTGCTTCCATCTTTCATGGTGCGATTTACTTTTGTGTATTTAGCTTCGTGGCAATTACTTAGCATCATCACTTCTTTTGAATCAAGCCACCTCGCACACAATGTTCCATTTTTAGTTACGAGAAACTCAGCCTCACCCCTTTTGCTTAGTTTTGTTGCAAAATTAGGAACATCTTTGCGTGTCTTGATGCACGTACCAACAGTAGGAAATTTCAGGGTTTCCATCAGGTGCACACTTGTAAAAAATCGGTGAAACACAAGCATCACGTCTTTACCTCGGATTGTCTCCGTTAGCTTTGATACTACCCGTTCCCCGAGTGTGCCTTGAACATGAATTCACACCCGTTTCTTTTCCGGAATAAATGTTCATGTCATATACATATCCTGTTTTTGAATCACATCGCTGCCAAATTTTTATCCCTCTTTTCACAGGTTTCATCGGTATATATTGTTTGAGGGACGAACGTCCCTTGAATTTCGCCATTGATTCATCAATAGCTTGATATGAGCTTTCGCTTCGGCACTGTTTGAAGGTTTGTTTCAGGCACGAAACAACGTTGTCAATATAGTATGTTTTACTTGCATTTTCTGTCTTTTCTGGTGCAGCAAAATATAGTTTCGACAGCAACATTTTACATCTGTCTCTTGAAATAGCATTTTTTATTGCTACATTCCAAAGAAGGATTAGATGACCAATAATGAGAGAATTTCGGCACCCTATTATAAGACATGACAAGCATGCATCCAAGGACAAGCATAATTTCAGAGGGGTCTGTAGGGTGAATTGTTTGTCCTAACTTTTCGAGTCATTGGTTTGTGCATTGAGCGATCCAAATCATAAGACTTTTTGGAAATATCTTGAGAAACATGTCCAATTCGGTAGCTGAACGATTTAATTTGAATAACAAACTAGGCGATGACTGTGCTGGAATTGTCATTCGAGGTTGGCAGTTGAATCTGCATGAAACTATAAGATTGGTTTGCAGCCTGAAGCATTAGCTGATGGTATCTCATCAACTGATGAAAGTGATGCCGTATCAGTATCACTCAAAGCATTGCTGTTCTTTGTATTTTGGGGAATGGTATAATGATCGATATCCATTTCACACTTGTCTGAATCAGATGCGTACTGCATATTGTGTGTTTCTTGAAAATCGGGATCGTCTATTTCATCATCCAAATCAATATCTTCGTCATCTGACTTTTCTAAAATTTTTTTGATTTCTTCATTAGTAAGTCCCCGGCGTCGAGTCATTTTAGATTGAATTAATATGTGCCTAAATTAAAAATAATAAGCAACTATTTCAAAAGTAACCGAAAAATATAATATCTAGAGAAATGATCACATAGGACTGTTGGGACAATGTGTTCCCACTATCCAAGACGAGAGGGACACATATGTCCCGATAGTAAAACCGGAAGTAAAACTTTGCCACTTACCAGTTTATTAGAGGTAATCCGCTTCGTGAGTAACTTATCTGGCCTTAGATTTATGGATAAATTAAAATTTAATCGAAAATAGGCGGTATTTTCCAAAACTAAACTATTTACGTTCGTAGAGTGTGGAATGAGCTGCTACAACACTTCAAAAACGCGGGAATTGCATTATGTACGGTAGTGCCATCTATGTTCTGTGAATGAAAATACCTTCAAAAATATTGGCAGGACTGGTGGGAAAGTCTCCCATTAGACAGAGAAGTGTTTCTATCCCAAGAGTATTTTTTGAAATTTGCTTGGGACGTATGTGTCCCGTTAGGCGCGAAAGGGTTAAAAAAGAAAGGTACTTTTCTGTTTGGGACCAGAGTCAGAAATGTAAGTATATATATGCATATATGTGTGCATCTATGTATGTACATATGCATGCGTATGTATATACACACATATATACATTCCTGAACAGTAACAGACCAAAGTAAATTCCAAAAATAAATCTAAAAACTAGTATTAGATATTAGGTACATAAAAACCCATAAAATCCACACTTTTTAAATGCTCACTTGACACTATTTATGATCCCTTTGTAAAAATTACTTCAAGAGCACAGTTTGTGTTAAACAAATTCTTGAGATAAACAGGTGAAAAAAAAATATTAACATAATCCATTTTATTCAATAACATTACAAATTAATCAATTTGATTTCTCCCCTCTATAAAAAAAAAAGACTTAAAAAGATAATTTTGTATTAAGATTATAATTTTTTTCAGATGATTAAAATTACAATAATAAAAATTTACCAGAAAAACAAATTTCATTATTCTTTTAATTTTCTGCACTGCCAACTAAATAATTTTCAAATTAAACAAAGGAAGATATCAAGAATTCACACCATATTATTATTCCAGATAACAAAATTTATTATTGATTTATGTTGCTCCATCTAAATTAAAATTTAACTTTGAACTAGAATTTTTTTAAAGTTATAATCTTATTTAAAAAAAAAAAAAAAAAAAAACTGGAATTTGTTTAAAGAATAAAAGCTGAACTGATTATACTATTTACTATAACACATTCATGTCAAATTTTAATTAAAAATTCACATTTTTTTAAGAATATTCACAAAGCTAATTGTTGAAAATACACCCAGAGAAAGGTGTTCCTTTTTTTTTAATTCCTGCAAATTATTGTAAAATTTGTACTGTATCATTACAACACTCAGTTCTTTGCATGTCTTCTGCAGTAATACATAAAATATCATACATGCGCTTAATCTAGAAGCACAGAGCCAAAATATTCTTTCTTATTAAAAAGACATTTAATATAGGTCATGCTGAGAATTTCTCAAACTAAATGACTGCATTCAATTATGCATGCACAATATTTAAAAAATTATTCATAAAAATATTAAGAAAAGACTTTTATGCAGCTGAGGGTAATTTTATGCAGCTGAGTGCATAATTCTTGCAATTTTACATATTGCAGTGATTCTAATGTGAACCATCTAATAATCAAAAAGAATAATGTTTTAATCAACAGCTAATATGAACTGATTTATACAGCATTGGAAACTAAAATTATGAAGTCTAAAAATATACTATTACATGAGTATTAACGTAACAAAAAAAAGTTTTTTAATTATGTCTTATAAAAAGATGAGCTTTTACAATTAAATTTAAAAAATGATAAATATTTTGTTTAGTAACCCATGTATACAGATTTAAAATGTTTATTTCCATATGTTGGATTTACTCTTTTCAAATATTATACAAGTGTCACATTAGCATAAAAATGCGAGAGTAATATTACATAGTTTAATAACAGAAACCATTCAGTTTATCGCTGTGTTTAATGTGACAGAGAAATTATATATATAAAATGTAGCGAAACTTTAGCTGGTGTATTAGCGGATATCGAACTGACATTCAAATAAGTTACGTGTTGTGTTTTGCCGGGAACAGTTTAAAACCGGTTCGCATATTTACATTAGGCCTTAGTAAACAAAAGACAGTTTCGTACCCGTTCTGTATAGCAGCTATACCTGTGAACACGAGAGCTATCACAAAAATAATTTCGCGTCCATAAGAATTCATAATCTGTAAATATTTTGTGAGGGAAGATGCATCGCCACGTGGTTCACGTATTTTGGTATCATCCTCATCTTTCCCCAGATTACTCGTCGCCATGATGACGTCATGATCAAAAAAAGGAAACAGAAACAGGAGCGTAACCTTTCACGGCACATGCCGCCGATAAAAGAGTGGGAGGTATTTAAAACAGAATGTGTAATAAAATCCGGTTATCGAAAATCTAGCGGTTTTTGCATGTCTGAAACTCTATTTATTTTAAATAACAAGTAATTTGAAATCTATCCTTATGCGATGAAAAAGTCCAAACTGAAAAAAGACCAAACATTTTTCGTTTCTCTCCTGATTGTACAACCCTTTTACAACGATATTATAATTTAATGATTTCTTATTGATTTTATTACTTTCCTTCCTAAAAGATGGCTTTATGTGGATCGTTTCTAGACGCTTACTGATCTAATAAGAAATTAAAGAAGAAAGGAAGTTGCTACTAAGGCAATGATAAGGATAAATATGTGCAAATAAAAAAAAAAACGAATACGTACCTGTCAAATTAATCAAAACAAAATACATCCTTAAATATAAACGGCAATACCAAATTTTAAAAATATATACATTAAGTTTGTATTGTTATATATATATAACCATATGTGTGTAATTAATGAAAAAAATCGATTACATACATGCTAATTTGATGTACCCTTAAAAGTTCTGACTCAAGTAATTTATTTTCTGTTATAGTAAATATAAAAACAAAATTCGGTATTTGAAAGAACTGTATATTTTGCGTTAGACTTATAAAATTGAAATGGCAACAACCTGTAATTTTTTAATAGTCCGTCACAATTATGTACAGACACACGCCAAAGGCGTACGGAAAAGTGTACCGTGACGTCATGGGTTTTCTGGATGGGTTACAATATTTGGCTTTTTATCATGTTTCGCGGTGAATTATGGCAAAGATTAACAATTTATCGTGCGATGTAAACAAACATCGAAGATTTCGTGTTAGGGTGCAAACGTTGTTGTAGTCAAAGAATATCTTAGATATTCGTTGGTTGTAGTGTTCGCTTATTAATAAATTTCTTCTGGTGATAATTCAGTTAAAATCACTGACAAAAGTTTGATAGGACATGTGAGAACTTCCATTGCAGTGTTCTTTGAATTAACATTTATTTCCTGCTAAACATATTATAAATAAAAGAACAAAACAATCTCAATTTTTAATATCTCTGTTAGCACTTCATATAATTTTTTTAGTGGTATGAATAAATTTTGTGCATATTGATTTAAAACTATTACCATCAGGGATACAAAACTGATTTTTTTTTTTTTTTTTCCTCTTACGAAAGCACTGAAACTGTTTAATTATAAAAATACTATTTTAATACTGAATTTTGAACGCATTTTTTCTGTTGATAATTTAGTTAATCGTAAAATGACTGTGCTTTCGCATAATTTAACATCATTTGTGAAGTGAATGACACTAAATTTCAGATGTGATGATTTTTTAAATTGTTTTCTGCCTCTGAAATAAAAATTTATTCTAATGTTTTGCGAGTTTTTAAGTGTATCAAAATGTCAATGTTCCATCGGCACTTGTGCAGAAACATGGGAAATTGACTCATCGTTTGTTGTAATTATTATGTCATTTAATGTGAGCAAAATGTTGCAATGTATTTGATTTTTTTCTTGATGAATTTGAAATTATGAAAAAATAACGTATGGTGTAGATGATGACAGAAATTTTTAATGAATGAATTTAGAAACTGTAAGATGAAAAGAATTTTACCTTTGATCTGATTCACAACTGCATGTCACAAAAGATACTTCATAAAGTATGCCGAAGTTTTATTCCTTGCAAAAAACGTGATATCTATTATTCAAGTTTGTAATCAGAGAATTATTATAGAGCAATGAAAAATCGTGAGGTGAGCTGTATTCTTCATAATGAGGAAAATTTGGAATTTTATTCCTTGCAGAAAACATGATATCTGTTATTCCAGTTTGCGATTAAGGAATTTTTATAAAGCGATGAAAGAATATGATCTTCGTGAGGTGAGCTGTATTCTTCATAATGTGGAAAATTTGGATGAAAGTGCAAATGAATTAATAAGGACTAACCTCCTTGGTGTATTTTCTGCATCTTCTAAATACATATTTTGAAACCATGTTTCAGAAAACACAATAATAAACTGTTTTAAGCAGGATAACTTTTACTGATGGCAAAATCAGTCACTTCCCCAAACAGATCCAAGTACAAAATATGAAAAAAATGTCTTTGAATATGATGATGAGAAAACTTTCTTACTTATTATTCCTCAAAACTGTCTCACCCAGTGCTCATAAACTGTGTATGAATGAAATTTTTCATGACAACTGCATGCTGTCCACTATTATTGAATTTTTAGCTCTTATTTCTTAATGAAAGTCCTGTGGAAACATGCAATTTTATATTTCTATTATACATCCATTTATTTAGTTAAACTGTATTGCAATTTCCTTGGGCATATTTCTCATCATTTAATATTATGATTCAGTTTTTGCTATCAACACAGATATGGACGAATGTAATGATATGCAAAACAGTGTGTGCTTTTTTTGTAGAAAATGCAATCGAACTTTCCAAAGAGAATAACCTCTTACTTAAATAGATTTGTCTTATGGGAGTGGTTATCTAAGGAAATATGCTATTAGTGATGTTCTATTATCAGCCATTATTTTATTTTATATCAAGTATGCTAATCATTTGCAAAGGACCTCTTCACATAAATTTTCTCTCCATTATACATGTATAAATCAACTAGTTGAATGCTTTGGCATAATCAATAAAGTATTACTACTTGCACAGTGATGTTTTGGTAAAAGTATATTTACGAGTACCCATTGGTGATTTTTGGCGGCACATGGATACCGAGTTTGTGCACATTGACCTACATAAATGCGACACGAAAAATTACAAA